AATTCGTCAGTTGCGTCATAAATAGGTAAAAAATCTTAAATCGGCTCTACTTTAAAATTAGTAAAATGTTACATACGATAGTTTACCTCTGAGGTACAGATATATATATATATATATATATATATATATATATATATATATATATATATATATATATATATATATATATATATATATATATATATATATATATATATATATATATATATATATATATATATATAGGAAAAAGGAGTACGACCGTCAAATTCCAATATATAAAAGGATCACTCAACAGAGTGGTGGGCTCTTATATCGGTCAATTTGTAGGTGGAGAAATGAAAGACAAAGTTGATGTGCCACTCTATCTATTTTGAAGACGTTTCGCTTTCGTATTCTGAAAGCATCATCAGTTCATTCTAAAAAGTATAATATAAGAACCACACAATCATGGAAAAGATGTTACAGGTATTACCTTAAAAAGACATGTAGCAGTCAAAGATGTTAACAAGCTTATGAATTAAACTTGAATAAATGGACATTATAAAGTAGAAATGTATAAACATTTAATTTACTAACAACATTTAGTGACTTATTAAAAAATTAGCACAGTAAGTGACCATGTGGTCCGAAGTATAAAAAATATATTAAATTATAACTTAAATGATGCAAAGAACTAAGAAAATCAACGATTAACTTCCAACTATTGATAATTATTAAGCTTTAATTTTAACTTTTGGTAGCATTATTAAAAGATGTTAATATAATTTAAAAAAAAATTAGTGTAAATGAATGAAGTTACCGGTCTAAGCCTTGCACCTGCTACCAGGAAAATGGCATTAGATTGAACAGACTGACACAGAACCACGAAAAGACAGCCAACCTTGAGGTTGAAATTATTTCAACAGAACAGCAAGGTCAGAGGTACCACCTCAAATAATTGAGCGGTTTATTTAAATGTTAATGAGTTTTGGATGACAGCCCGCTTGTAAGAGACAATCCAATGAAAGAAACTGAAATAGCAATAACAATTACTCGCATTAGCCCGTCTAAAAACAAACAAACAGGAGAATTGCATCCAAACTCTTATATTTAAATTTATGTTAAACATTATGGCTGTAAAAATTTTGCCAACAGGTGAATAACAATTAGATAATTTCCAACAGTCTAAGCTTCAGACACTTAGATCTGTAATTTGTAAAGGATTCTATGAATCAATTACAATGTTAATATTATTACTATACTATTAAATAGTGACTGGTTCACACTAATATGGAAAATTTAAGTGTAGAGGTAACAGTGTAATGGAAGTTGCCTATATTTAAGTAGTTGGTATAAAGAATTGAGTGTTTCAGTTTATTTTAATATTAGTTATTTATTTAATATGTTATATTATTAATTAAAACAAAATTGTGTTTAATTATGTATATTACATGACAATTATAGTGAAAATGAAAGTAAAGCCTAGTTCTGCAATATTAGAGCATGATAAATTTGGCTCAAGTTACTTATGTCAGTTCTCTTATTTAGAGCATTAGGATGTTTAAGAATTGAACACATTTCTAAAAACTGTCTTAAATAGATTACGTTCAGTGCCAAGAATCTTAACTTCATTAAAATCCACTTTATGTTTAGTGCCAATAGCGTGTTGTGCGAGAGCACACGTATTTTTTGATAAATTAATATCACTACGATGAGAAGTAAGACGACCTTTTAATGATCTACCGGTCTGGCCAATGTACAAATCACAATCAGAGCATGGAAGGTGGTAAATTGTATTGACTTGTTCTAAAGTGGACAATGGTGTTTTAGTTTTTGAAAAAAGATTTCTAACAGTTTTTGTGTTCTTGACAGCAATTTTAACAGGAATGTTATTTTGTTTATACAGTTTAATAAGTTTCTCAGTAACTTGAGGAAAATAAGGTAGAGAAGAATAATGGATAATAGGATTCTCAAACTCAGTATCTGGCAGAACAATGCTATTAATTGAGTTATTGGAAATAGTTCTGAGTTGGTCACCATTGGGTATGTCATCAAACGAGGAACCATAGCTTTGTGTGTATAGGTATTTGTTTATGATAGATGAAGGATATGAGTTCTCTATTAGAATATTTCTTAATAACTTAGGGATTCCCTTCGATTAATTGGATGTGTCAATTTATGTAATCTGCAGCTTAAAGCTTTTATAAGGTTTAGTTTATACTTCATAGGGTGACAGGAGTGGTAATTAAGGAACCTATTAGAGGCCATGGGTTTTCTATACCAACTTGTGGTTAGGGTGTTATCTCCCATTCTAATGACACGCATGTCTAAAAAGGGAATGCTATTGGTGATGGTGTCCTCAAGTTCAACAGTGAACTGTAAATGAGGATCAAACTCATTAAAGAAGGATAAGGTACCCTGAACCACCCGACAAGGTTTTGACCTCCTCCGAAAATCATGGTCAACTCTTAACAGGATAAGAACGGGTCATGGAGTCTGCGCATATTCCCTTTATAAATGGAGGATGAGAACCTCTGCTGAGTGCGACTGCGGCGCCGAGAAACAGACCATCCAGCATATGATTGCCGAATGCCCTCGGAGGAAGTATTATGGAGATCCTCTAGACTTCGCCTCTGCAACACCAGCGTCGATTGAATATATTAATACATTAGATGTTAGATTGTAACATATATGTGATAATGTTGTGTATTAAATTGCCATACGCTAAATAAATAAATCATAAGCTTTGTCTTTTTAACGTTTATATTGAGTCTATATTGTTGACTGTAATACGTGATTTTGTTCATAAGAACTTGTAGGTCTTCTAAGTTGTCCGCAAATACTATGGTGTCATCTGCATATCTGATGTTGTTAAGCGGGTAACCATTTATTAAAATACCTTTTTCAGTTTCGTGCAAAGCTTCGATAAATATTTTTTCAGAATACAGATTAAAGATTAGAGGAGACAAAATACAGCCTTGCCTCACTCCAAGCATGATTTCCACAGTGTTGAGTGCAAACTCAACAAAGTAATGTTAGCCCTGGTCAAAGTATAGATGAACCTGTTGATTCCTTTTCTTTGTTTGTGGACGAAAAAATTGTGAACGAAATAGTGAAGTGTACAAATAAAGAAGCCGAAAAAGTCCTGGGGATAGAGAACTGGAAATATTGCGATTCGACAGAGATATATGCCTTTATTGGACTATTACTAACTGCAGGACATCTGGGTGCCAACAACAATAATGTAGATGTACTTTGGAGTAAGTTTTATGGACCTACTATATTTAGGGCTACGATGGGAATAAAACGATTCAAAAATTTGCTAAGATTTGTTCGATTTGACGATAAAGATACGAGGCCTGAACGAAGAAGGGACGATAAATTAGCAGCAATACGCGACGTTTGGAATCAAGTCAACCAAAACTTTAAGAAATATTATTTACCAGGAAAAAACATAACGGTAGATGAGCAACTTGTTCCGTATCGAGGAAGATGCCCTTTCAAGCAATATATGCCGTCAAAGCCAGATAAATATGGCATGAAAATATGGTGGGCCTGTGACTCGGAAACATATTACCCTTTAGGTGGAATACCATATACAGGAAAAAAGGGAAATACAGTAGCAAAAGGTCTCGCATTTCAAGTTGTACAGGAACTCGTTGAGCCTTATTATAATTCCAACAGGAATGTGACTTGCGATAACTATTTCACTGATCTTGCTCTTGCACATGAATTACTAGCAAACTCACTAACTCTAGTCGGCACAGTGAAGAAAAATAAGAGGTTTGTTCCTCAGGAATTTCTTCCGAACAAGAACCGTTTAGAGAAATCTTCAATTTTCGGATTCACTCCAAAAGCATCTCTTGTTTCCTACGTTCCGAAAAAACAAAGAAGTGTCCTAGTCCTGTCTACTATGCATCACAATGCAAACTGTGAAGATGATGTTAACAAAAAACCAGATATGATACTTTATTATAATAGTACAAAATGTGGTGTCGATACGCTAGACCAAATGGTTCATAAGTATATGTGCAAAAGACGGACAAATCTCTGGCCTTTTGCATTTTTTATGAATATTTTAGATGTGGCTGGAGTAGCTTCATTTATTACTTGGACAAATTTACATCCAAAATGGAACGAAAACAGAGATGAAAAGCGAAGGTTGTTTCTTACCACAACAGCAGAACAACTAGTGTTGCCTCAAATTTTGAGAAGAAAATCAAGGGGACTACATCGAGAAACAAAACAGTGCATTGAAAAATGCTTAGAGGAAGTTTATCCAAACAATAAAAAACCAAGACTAGAAAAACCTCCAGTTTCAACAAAGAAAAGGTGTCATATTTGCCCAACAAAAAAGGACAGGAAACAGAAACAAATTTGTGAAATATGTAGTAGAAATGTGTGTAACGATCACTGTATAAATAAAAAAGTTTGTGAATACTGCAATAAAGAAAAATAGTTGATTAATCTATTGTTTTTTTTTAATAATCTAGCCAATTTAAATATAACTTCAATAAAAAAATCAAAAAAGAATGTTAGAAATATACAAATATTAATATGAATAATATATTCAAGAACAGTGGGTCCAACGGACCTGAGTTGCCCGATTACGTCAGAAAAATATCTTGCCCGGATAAGGGTTAAAAACGTATTGGATTTCACAATACCAAAAGAAATCTGAGTTTCTGTCTCTTGGTCCGAAATTTGCATTACCATGCCTATATAGTGACTTAACAGGTTGACTGCCTATATATAAACGAAAAAAAATTGGCCTAAACGCCAAGCATATATTAATTACATGTCTTTCTAAAATAATTACTCTATATTTGAATAAAAAAATTCAGAATAGTGAAAATTTTTCAAAAAAACCACTAGCAGGCTTATGCGCCCGCCCGGGCACAGGCGACATATTTATGCCAGTGGTGCCAGCGGGCGTCATACTGGCGGTCGCTTTAATCGAGTCGGAACTTGTCAAGCAGACAAGTGCCAATCTATTTAGTCTAGCTTTGACTGTTGTTTGATGTGCGTGTTGTGCAACAATGAGTAAGCGAAGCAGAAAAATTGTCGAACTTGCTTTGAAAGATGCTGAAATGTCAGGTAATAACGATATTCATTTTTGAAGTAGATATAAATCTTTTGAAATCTACCGATTTTAAATTTTTTTCGTAGTTCACTATATTTCGTATTTTTTATTATTTCAGGTGACGAATCTGACCCCTTTAGTTCACTTGATTCCGATCTTGATCCCATGTTTTTGCCAACTAGTGACGAAGAAATATTATCCAGTTCCGATTTCTCAGATATAGAAGCATCTTCAGACATGTTTTCTCCGAAGATAGCATTGTCCAAACCCAAAGCAAATATCAAACGGAAATTGCAAACAACTAAAATCAGTTCAGAGAAATTATGTACGAGGAATGTTCTGGATCAGCCAAGCTGTTCTACATCACTCTTGCCCAATGATGCCTCACAGGAAGAAATAGAAGATGCTGACGCTACAGCCAGCATTCCATTTGATTCTATAGAAACAAACGACAATAGGTTATCTAAAGCTTTGGAACGGGAATGGGACAATATTTCACCTGAACAATTGGAAGAATTCTTTGATATCGAAACCTTAGCTCAAACTCAATTATCAGATACTGACGATATCCAGGAAAATGAGGTTGGAGCTAATCAAAATATTCTAGAACATACTTGGAAGCAGCCAATTGGAAATCATCACGAATTTGAATACTCTGCAGAAGATGGACTATGTGGCAATTATGCTGCAATACTTATAAATGATTTATCGCCTTATAAGTGTTTTCGTACTTTCGTTGATGATAAAATTATTGATGAGCTTGTAAATCAAATAAATTTATATGCAACTCAAATATTGTGTGATACCAACGATGTAACCAAAGATTCAAGACTACACAGATGGGTTCCAACCGACAAAAAAGAAATGATCAGATTTATTGGGATAGTAGCTTACATGGGTCTGGTAAAAATGCCTTCTTTGGAAAAGTATTGGAGCAACGACGACCTATATAAAAATGCGGTTATACCAAAAACCATGTCCCCAAATAGATTTCAGCTGCTGCTTAGAATGTGGCACTTCTCAGATAATAAAAGTTGCCCAGAAGGAGATCGATTATTTAAGGTGCAGCCACTAGTGAAAAAACTTATCAAAAATTTTCAAAAGGTTTATACTCCAGGTCGAACATTTTGTATAGATGAGTCTATAGTTCCATTTCAAGGACGATTGATATTCAAACAATATATTCCCCAGAAAACGCACAAATACGGAGTAAAACTTTTTAAATTATGCAGTGGCAATGGGTATACATGGAATCTACGAATATATGCGGAAAGGAAAAAAAGGAGGGCAACGCTTCTATACCAACTAACATTGTCCTTAACCTCTCAAAGGACCTACTAAATTCAGGACGAACTATTATTGCTGACAACTATTATATAAGTCTTGAACTAACAAATATTTTGTTGGATAATAGAACACATTACATCGGTATATTGAGAGCTAACCTTCGTGGAAATCCGAAAGATGTCATACTCAAAAAGTTAAAAAGGGGGGAAGTATTTGGACAGGAAAATGAAAAAGGTGTCTGCGTCCTGAAGTGGAAAGATAAAAGGGATGTTCTTCTTCTCGCCACTAAGCACACTACAGAAACCGTAGCCATACAGCGACGCAGTTGTATGGTTCATAAACCGAAGGCAATAATTGAATACAACAAAGGAAAGTCATCGATTGATCAATCTGATCAGATGACCTCTTCTAATTCATCTTTACGAAAATCACTAAAGTGGTATCGAAAATTAGCGATAGAATTCATTCTGGGGACAGCGGTTGTAAATTCTCACATAATATATAACCAGCTTGCTGACAAAAAAAATAAAATTACAGAGTTTCGTCAAGATTTAGTGAGATCCCTACTAACTTATGAAGAGACAAATAATGAAAATGAAACAACAGAACCATCCAAAAAATCACCACATTGTACAGTGGCTATGAATAAGGATGACTACATCGAAAAAAGTAAACTTATGCTTAATGATAAAAAAATATATACAAACTTATCAAGAGATACAACTACATCAATACAAACATCATTAAATACCTTGATAAAAACAGTTGTTACTGCAGATCAGATCACAAAAGAAGAGTCAAAAAGATTAACTATTTATAATTCATCATTTCCAAAACTATATTGTCTATCAAAGATCCATAAGGCCGATTACCCTCTTCGTCCTATAATAAGCTCAATGAATTCGGTTACCTACATTTTGTCACAATTTCTATCAGTTATTCTACAAAATGCTTTTGAAGATAACACAGATTTCAATATCAAAGACACCTTCTCTTTCGTAACTAATGAAGAAGTTTAGTTCTCCCTCAGAGTTATGTACTGATTTCTCTAGATGCAGTTTCACTATTTACTAATATTCCAGAAGATTTAATATTTTCTGTAATAGTTACAAAATGGGAGACTATTAAAGATCACACAAAATTAACAAAACCAAATTTCCTAATCTTAATTAAATTCGTTTTCCAAAATACATACTTTTCCTTTAATAATAGCTTTTACCGCCAAATTTTTGGAACACCCATGGGCAGTCCTATCAGTCCCATATTAGCTATATAATTGAGCTTGATCATTTAATAGAAACAGTTGTCACAAAATTACCATTCATCTACCTTTCTTGTACAAATACGTGGATGACATAATTTGGGCTGTTCAACAAGATCAAAAACAGCAAACATTACATATTTTTAACTCCTTCAATAAAAACATACAATTCACTGTTGAAATGGAGAAGGAAAATAGTGTACCATTACTAGACACTGAAGTCATCCGTCAATCTGACAATCGTATCATACTAGACTGGTATCAAAAACCTACAGCATCTGGAAGATTTCTTAATTTCTCTTCCAACCACACAAAAAGTCAAAAGTATAATACTGTTATTGCAATTCAAAACAGGATAGAACACATCAGCGATGAGCAATTCTTACATAAAAATAAGACCAAATTGTGTGGATTATTTCTTAACAACGGTTATCCTAAGTCTATATTAAAACAACTAATATTCAATACTACTGCAAATGACGGACAAATAGACAAACCCCCCGAAGAAACCAGATATAAAAAAACTACCATATATCCCTGGTCTAACAAATCAACTAACATCAATAATTAAGAGCTACACCAATACAACAATTAGTAAAGACAGCAATTTTAAATGCAACAACTTATTTTCGAAAACCAAAGATCATACACCAACCATGTACAATAGTAACGTCATTTACAAATTGCAATGTTTAGGATGCCAGGGATGCTACATTGGTCAAACCGGACAATGGTTGAAACAACGGGCCACTCAACACAGAAGTGATTGAAGAAGGGGAAAAATACATGCGCTGTTGTCCAACATTCCATCAATACAGGTCATGAATTTGATTTTGATAATGTAAAAATAATACAATTAGTCTCAATTTACAAAAATAGGCTGTTTCTCGAAATGTGCAATATAAGCAGGACAGATAATGCTATTAACAACAAAACAGACGCTAACGGACTTAGCTCCATTCATTGTAACATCTTAAAATCTTTTTAATTTATAAAATATATTAGTTTCTGCACGTCACTGATTAAATTGTAGGACAATTCAATAAAATCAGGTATTTTAATATTTTAGTTGAATTTTGGTTTGTCACTCATAAAGTTGTGTTTGTGTTTTAATATTTTAGTCTGTCACTCAAGATGTTGTGTTTGTGCTAAGCTGTTTGAACGATAACATCTGTAAGTACCTTTATGTTATGTTATTTTTTTATTCTATCAATAAATAATTTTTTAGTGCGCTCTTGAAAAAGCCATAAACCAAATGGCGAAATATTGAGTTTACGAGAAAAAAATCGTTTTATTTTCTGTCCAAAAAGCCTGATAATATACATTTATTTTAATTATTTGATGGTCGATAACGAAAAACTATATATATATATATATATATATATATATATATATATATATATATATATATATATATAAATTAGATGATGAAGTTCTTGGACGCACTTATATTTTTTAGTCTCTCTATGACACTTTTGCAATCTGTAAATATAATACTTTTACTAATTTAATACTGACATTATTATTAGGTGCAATTATTTAAACCTAATTTATTTTGTAGTAAGATAATTCCAGATTTAGTTATGAGTTATAAACAAGCAGAATCACACAAAGGTTAATTCAAGGGTAACAAAATGTATCATTATTTATAGTTGTCCGTTTTTATAGTCAAGGATCTCGTGTCATTCTTCTTGATTATAATTTTTTTAAAATATGTACCAATGCTCAATGAAAACTGACTTTCAATTTTGCTACTATTTTGCAGAATAGTTGATGTTGGAACTGCAAAAAAAGTGCAATAATTGAATTTAAAATTTAAGTAGACTTATTTCTTTTAGTCTTGAAAATACAGGGTGACATATGACTCATGATTCATAATATTTAGTGCTTTAAAATTATAAGCAATCAGCAAATTCAATTTATACAAAATGCACAAACATGGGGCCCACAATATCAAAACTCTAAACAAATCTTTTAAGTCTGTGCTTAAAAGATAGTTGCTAGATCTTGTTTTGGCAAGATTATCTCTAACTGGTTTTAAATCTAAGCATCCAAAGTTAACTTCAAGCTCAGTCTGGAATACAAAAGTGTCCTAGGTGCTGCTGCATTGATTAACAAGGTCACCTTGATATGAGTATAAAGGCAGACAGTGTAGACTGGAATGAGCAAGGCAATGTCCTTAGTTCCTCTATTCTATCCATTGAATGCAGTAAAACATAACTTGACCTAAAATACTGCCTTGGGGGGAGTCCAAGGTTCGTAGTTCTAGGTGTAGTAATTCCACAAGCCTCATTCTGATACGTGCCATACATGTACCGATTGAATACTATAATACAAAATTCTGTCGATTTGGAAGTGTTGGCTAAAAGCAAAGCCGAATTAGAACTCCATCAAAGGAAGGTAGAAAGTGTAACAAATGGCAAGACATTAGACATAGAACATGGAAGGGCAAATCCAGAAAAAGTTCGTGTAGTGTGTTTTGATCTACAGAAAACTCTTCCAACACCGCCACTTTCAACAAATAAAGTTTACTATCTACGTCAGTTATGGACGTATATAACTTCTGTGTCCATGCTCTTATTAGTGGAATAGAGGATCCCAAAAATTGGATCATGTCTTATTAAGGTAAAGCTATACCTTACTTAGTAATTGTTTATTATTAATTAATATTTTTTTTTGCAGTACATAAAAGATTTTCCACCAACTGTCGAAGAACTGATTTGCTACAGCGACCAATGTGGTGGCCAAAATAAAAATAAGAACATTGCTAAATTGTTTATGTTTTTGGTCCAAAGTACTACTTTGAAAATAATACAACATACATTTTTTGAGCCAGGACATTCGTATATAGAATGCCGCCGTTCTTTTGCTAGAATCGAAAAAGAATAAAGCTATCATTAAACATTTTTATGCCAGAACATTGGAAAGATTTAATAAGAAAAACTTACAAAAAGTTTCAAGTATATACCATGGAACAAAATGACTTTCTCGACTTGAATACCTTCATAGGATCATGTGTGATCCAAAAGAAGACATGGAAAAGCGACCAATAAAATGACGAGAAATCGTATGGTTTGAGTACAGACATGAACACCTGCAAGATTGAACCGTTAGTAGCTGCTAAAAGATACAACAGAAAAGAAAAGAAGAATGTTGCTATTCCTCAACTTAGCTATTAGCAGAATATAATCAGCATATGGGAGGAGTTGATCTTCACGATAATGGAATATCGAACTACAGGATTCATGTAAAAGGAAAAAAATGGTGGTGGCCACTTTTTATAAATGTCTTAGATAGTGTCGTCGTAAATTCTTGGAAAATATATAATCTAGGAAACAAACGCAAAATATCCCAGCTAGAGTTCAAATCACACATAGCACTAACGCTAATGAAAACGGAAGAACCTAATGGTACAGAAAATGATCAAGAAGCAAGACCCAGTGGATTGAACACTGCTGCAAATCCAAATTATGGACGACCGTTTAGAAATGCTTTACCTATTGCAGTACGATTTGATAAAATCGGCCATATAATAATTGAACAAGAGAATAAGATACGACGAAAATGCAGACAGTGTAAAACCAATACCATATATGTCTGTAAAGTGTCAGGTTCATCTTCATTCGGACTGTTTCAAACTTTTTCATACGCCTATATGATTAATTATTTTTTGTCCTGTAATCCCAATGTTTCGTATACGAAACATTTTGCAGCCGGTTTCTGAGGCAAAAAATATTTTTTTTTTGTTCTTTTTAGTTATATATACCTAATTTATTAAATAATAAACTATTAAATCTTTGAAATATTTTTAATTTCTACCCTTGGGAATTAATGGGTTAATTATGCTATTTTCAGCGTTATCCTTGAAGCAAATCCAAAAAAATCAGTAATTAATTGCTTTCATCCGAAAAGATTAAGACAATTTTAGCATTTTAAATGTAGTAAATAAAATGTGATATTTAAAATATGATTATCAAATCCGCAGGTGGGTAATAAATCAGTGACTGTCAAAATGTGGGATTGAACTTAATATAAACTGTTTTATTAAAAAGTATAATATGCTCATTTTACTCTGTTTACTACAAATTTCTGCAATCATTGAAATAAATAGATAATCTTAAAAATTTTTGGTATAATTTTAAACAGTTATTCTTGTTCTAAATATAATACACAACAAATACATAACCGACAAAAGTTTGAAACCTCTGGAATAGATATTCATTTTAGCAAATCTAAGTATAAATACAAAACTTTAATATTTTGTGTCAGTCTGCAAGTAAAGTATAAATTCAAAAGTTATAGTTGTGTTGATAAAATTTAAAGCTATCACGAAAACAGTAAAAAGTATTGAAGTTGTTGCTAAACCCATGGTCAGGGGGAAAGGCCCTAAAATAATTAACCAATACAAGAAAGCTGCTGATTCCGACCATTTTGAGTTGACAACTGCCGAAAGGAAAACAGATTTTAACGATAGCTTAAATTCCTTGGTGTTTTTAGGAGATATTTCTCGCATCAAGCCTATTGGTTATAGGTCATTCAAAAGACGAATACTATCCTCGTCCATGCCAAGGTCTAAGGTGAAACCGTCTTTGCAAGCAGAAGTTCCATCAACTTCTGAGATGAAAACTACTAAAAATGATAAGATGCAAGCAGAAGTATGTATTTCATCCATTCATCCGTCTAACAAAATGGAAGAGACATCTAGTGACCAAGAAGATTCATCTCCTCATATGGATGACTTTGTTAGTGATGAAGAAATAGAGCGACAGTTATTAGAAGCTGATGAGCTTCTGCAAAAAGACGAAGATCTCAAGGAAAGCAGTAAAAACCAAATGGAAGACGGCCATGACGAATTTGTTTTTAATGAAAGCTATCAATATGAGTCTGGTACCGATATGGAGAGAAAAAATCTTGGAGAAGCCAGCCGCGAGGAATCTCAATGTAATGTTTCTGATGTTGAGTCTCTTGAAGATAACTTCATGGAACAAACTTTTAATTTCAGCAACGAGGCTGAGATCGAAAAAGAAGAAGATAAAAAACTGAAGAAAATAGTGGCAAAATTTGTTAAAGTTAATAGCACTGCCCTTAGCCACAAAATAAAAAAAAAATGCGTATTCAGTCCAAATTAAACCAATTATTGCAAGAACAAGAAGAGCCCGTTTCAAATCTTGGGTATTGGGGGCTATGATGTATCATTTACGTAAATAATTACATACTGGTGTAAAATTTAGAAAACGTACATCAGATTACAGTTCTTAAAACATAATGTCGCTCCATTGATAGAAGAACGTCATAACTAAAAAAATTATATTTTTCAGATAATATATAAAAACAGTTGCTAATGTAATGGCAATAAAGTCGTTTTAGATGTCACCAAATGAACTGATCCGTTATGCGGAAGAACGACAGATCTAACTTAACTCACAAGCGAAACTGTTGTTCCAGTCTTAATTTTATTAAATATAGTGTTTTTGTTGAAGTATGTCATAAAAACAATTGGGTCGTTTGGGAATAAATTTAATAGGATATTTGTGTGCTACACTTTTAGGTAAGAACGTCAAATTGGTATATATGTCTATTTTTCGTAAAAATGCTTGTAAATTTTAACTACATTTTATGCTTACTGTATGTGTGTGTGTGTGTGTGTGTTTTGTTTTATGGCACTGGAACTAAGCCAATTGGCCAGAACAAATGTGTGAGAGTTATAAGGAAAATGCTTCAGGTAAGTATTAATTTTTACATAATGCGTATCTTATATTATCTTATATTTAATGAACAACACGTATGATTGACGACATAATATTTAAGATTATATTAATGATTATTCTTTTAATATAGCTGTATTTTTTTTTTTAATTATATTGTTTGCTTTTTGAATAATTTTTTTTTTTTTTGTATTTTTTTTTTTTTTGTTTTATTTGTTTTTTTTTTGTTTTTTTTTTTTGTTTTTTTTTTTTGCTTTTTTCCTATCATATAATTTTGTTAGTTATCACAAAGGAGATTCAGAAGGAGTGCTAATTTGCCGAAGGGTCGTTTCGGCGGGGTTTTGTAACACGGTGGAGAGGACCCCTGGAATGGATACAAAAGAGTGGGATTTATGTTAGTGTGCTTATAATTTAAATTTACATTTAACCGTATGTTCATAAATTACCTCATATACTCGTATATCTTCAGTTGCAAGTAAGCTCGACAAGTTAAAAGGTTTGGCTATTTTTAATTTATATAGATTATTAAGTAGTGTAGAGATCTCTTGTTGAATAGACGGGCATTCTAATATAATATGTTCTAAACTACCATGTTTTCCGCATTCGCAATAATCTTCGTTAAGGATACCTAAACGGTGTTTATATTCCGGATACATTGCGTGGTTACTACTGCTTACTGTAAATTAATTCGTATTTTGTCGTTGTTCTTTATAAAAACTGGTATTTTTAATAAATTGTGTCTTGTTTCCTATCCGATTTAATTTACAAAGATACAGAATAAACTAAAATTCTGTTAGGTATTTGTGAAATAATAATTATATCAAACTATTATACATATTTTTAAATATATATACAAGGGGCAACTATTTTATTAACCACTAGATTGATATCTTGGAAACGGTGATAGTAACAAATCTCATCGACAAAAAGGCCCTCAGGATACACACCATTGACCTCAAGCGCTATTATACCCATAATACCCTTAGTACCGTAATAACTATTTTATTTTTTTAGGCCACGTTATTTCATCGTCCATTAATAAATTGGACAACAATACCAATGTTGAAAGTTCAGGTAGCATAGTCTGGAAGTCTCCAGTAGTAACTTCAGAAGATGTTACTACTGGAGAGTCCAATTATAGTCCATCAACATAAATCATCAACATCATCCGAATCGCAAGTTCCCTTATCATCTCGTAATAGCAATATATTAGATGAAGAGAAAGAAAATGTCAAGGAGGTTAATAAGGATAAAAAAAACCAAGAAAACGTAAACGTAATAAATCTACCTGGAAGGAAAATTTGGCGAAAATTTTAAAAGGTTACGAAAATCATACGTATCGTCTAGTATACGAATAATTTAGTATTATAGTTTATTCGTCTTCCGGGTTTGGACCGTGTCATTTGTGAGTGACCCAAAAGTGGGTTCATCTCGACGTTTCGCTACAATTGTATGTAGCTTCTTCAGGAGAACAAAGAAAAAATAAATCAAAAAGGGCAGGAAGATGGGTAGTTAGCAACGGTAACTCAGTTACTCAACGCAACCAGAGGCGAATACTAACTACCAAGATGGGCATTTGGTCACAGTAACTCAACTACTCAACGCAGCCAGAGGTGAAAACCAAATGCCAGGACAGGGATTCACGTCCAACAGCTCAGAACACTAACGCGTCGAGAGGCGGGGAGTGAATCCGACGATTACTCCGCTACCGCTCTATTTATAGTCGCGGTGACCTGTCGTGTCGGGACGTATCGGCACACTCCCTGGCGCGAACGTCAAGAAGCGCGCGCTGGCCAATCATGTGGCTGCATCGTGGCAGCGGGACCGGACGGCGGCTCTAGACTGAGATTCCAGATGGGAGGCAAGTAGTATCCTTTCTCTCGATTGATATTATGTGGATTTTTTCGGATCTCTAGAGATTCGCGGATTTTCCTGGAATAAAAGAAGGGGCTCTTAGAAATAATATGGGTTTTTTCGAACAATATGGAATGACCGGTTTCTTGGCAGTGTTCTGCAACTGCAGAATGGGAGAAAAGACCTGATCGAATGCATCTTTGATGCTCTTGAATCCGAGTTTTGACGGAACGACCAGTTTCGCCAATATACACATGTCCACATGAACAAGGAATAGAATAGACACCACAGGAAGATAGGGGCGGTAATGGGTCCTTAGGAGAGGGTAGATATTGTGAGATTTTCTTGGGTGGTCGAAAAGTAGTCCTGATACCTTCTTTGCGAAGAATTTTGCCAATCCTATCAGTGACACTTCGAATATACGGAAGAAAAGGCACAGGAGTATTACCCGAAGATTCTGAATTTGTCGTCTTAGGGTGTAAAGGGGGATGTAGATGTCGGTGTGTAATATTTTGAATTGTGGACTTGGAGTAACCGTTGGCGACAAGGGTTTTTTGCAGATGGCCAAGTTCTTCTCTAAGGTTGTCAGGTTCAGAAATCGAAATGGCCCGATGGATGAGAGAGTTGATCACAGAATTCTTTTGGGCAGGATGGTGATGTGATGAAGCATGTAGCTAACGATTCGTGTGAATCTTTTTTCTATAAACAGAGTGACCCAAACGGCCATTGCTCTTGGAGGTGACTAACACATCGAGAAAGGGAAGGGACCGATTATTTTCTACTGCCATTGTGAATTTTATACTCGGATGTTGTGAGTTAAGATAATCTAGGAAGGGAGAAAGGGTATGTTGACCATGGGCCAGATGATAAATGTATCATCAACGTAGCGGAACCAGACTTTCGGTTTTAAGGGGTAAGATTCTAGGGCTAAAGACTCAAAGGCTTCCATGAAAATGTCAGCAATGACAGGGGAAAGGGGAGAACCCATTGGTGTTCCAGATATTTGTTTGTAGAAATTACCTATAAAAGAAAAATATGTTGAAAGGAGGCATTTTTCCGCAAGATCTGCCAAAACCAAAGACTTGTTATCATTGGTCAAGTGATCTCGCAGAACAACTAGAGAGTCATGTATGGGGATATTGGTAAATAGGGATGATACATCGAAACTGACGAGAATGTCTTGGGGATCGACCGTGAGGGAGGAGATTAAGGTGATGAAATGTGTGGAATTTCGGACATAAGAAGAGGTACGACCAGTATAGGTCTTAAACTGATTCGACAAGTACTTTGCGAATTTGTAGGTAGGAGAGTTAATCGTGGTCACAATGGGACGAAGAGGTACGTTGTCTTTATGGATTTTGGGAAGACCGTAAATTCTGGGGCAGATGGAGTTTTTCGGAACTATGGACTTCTTTACATCATCGGAAAGATCGGATTGTTTGATGGCATGGAAAATTTCGCGTTCGACTCTAGGAGTGGGGTCTCGAGAAATTGTATTATAACAGGATGTATCCCTAAGTAAGTCGTTTACTTTCTCTATGTAGGAAGGAGTATCCAGGATGACTGTGGCATTACCTTTATCTGCAGGAAGGATTATTATCTCAGAAAGAGAACGGAGATTTTTGAGAGCTATGAATTCCTCACGAGATATATTGGAAGTAGGGATTTTGGCTGTATCAAGACATTTAGCGACGTCAAAGCGGATACGGTCGGCTGGAATCTTGGGAATTGTGCGGAGTGCCGTTTCCACATTTAAAATGATTTCTTCGGTAGGAATTCTGGAAGGAGTGATAGCAAAATTAAGACTTTTAGATAGAAGACTGCTTTCTGCACTTGTTAATTGGTGAGAAGAAAGATTAACGACGCTATTAGTAAGAGGTGACTGAGAAGTAGAAGAGGGAATGTGATTTTTTCTTAGATACAAGGGATTGGAATTTCTTTTTGTGAGTTTCGTTGCTTAGAAGAAGGTTTTTATCGGCTTGATGATAGGGAATGCGGTCTAAAAGTGACCAATCATCGACACTAAGAATACTGGAGAGTTCAAGATGCAGCTTGAAAAGTTTTTGGGATTGAAAATTAAGGGTTTTTCGAATATGTTGAATCCGTTCACGAAGTAGAGATAGGCTGGCTCGATGTAGAATTCGGGAAGAAGATGAAGAGGAAATGTGATGTTTTAGAACAAGAAAATTGGGAACCAAGTTATTATCACGACATCTAGAGAGGAAGGTGAGCGAAGAAAGTAGAGATGAAACTTTAGAGCGAAGATTCGAGAACTCTGAGGTTTTGCGGAATATAACCTCCCCGTAGAGGTTGGTCAAATGAAATCGTAGGCTTCCACGGCCAGAGTCAGAATTATAGTTTATTCGTCTTCCGGGTTTGGACCGTGTCATTTGTGAGTGACCCAAAAGTGGGTTCATCTCGACGTTTCGCTACAATTGTATGTAGCTTCTTCAGGAGAACAAAGAAAAAGAAAAAGAAGACAGGAAGATGGGTAGTTAGCAACGGTAACT